ATCTCTGTCCTTCAGCTTTAAGTGAAAGTTGCTTCTGAAATACTCAGTAGTGATCATTTCCCTTTTTAATAGGGAAAAGCTAAACAAGTTGAGAAAATTACTCTAGTGTCTCATTTCCTGCTAGGGACCAGCTCTTTTTTCTCCTGTTTCCTTCTCAGTTTCAATTAATTAGCATGACACCACCACAACTAAATGGTGTATGTGCAAGAGAACTAACACTTAATCAAAGGCTAGGGACACTATTATGTCATTTTCACACATGAATTGTGTAACGTTAGAAGACAAAGTGAAGGTGAGTTAGACCTGACAAATGACTTGGATGCGGGGTGAGTCATTTTATCAATATTTCAAAGCCTAAGAAAGAAAAGTACTTTCTACATGCGGGCATACACACATATAGAAAGATTCAGAGGAGGAATAGGAAAACATGATCATATAAAGCTTTAATTTGAGGACATACTGAGAAGTATGCGTGTCATGGGGTGAGGGTACTCTGCTTCCAAATGAGAAAGGAAACAAGTTTATTTTATGAGTAACAGTTAAATGTTCAAGCAGGCAATTAAAGTGCTTTACCGAGGCCATTTTGGGATACCAAACACTTTGAAGATTATATATTCCCTCATATTTCATGTTCAATGTTCCTCTAAGTAAAATATGTGGTTCCCTTTAGTTACTCAGTTATGAATTGTACTTTAAAGGCAAGGGGACATTTTTGATAATGCACATCTTAAACTTTTCATTAAACTACCAAATTTAAATTCTACCTTTTTGTGCACTCTGACATTTTTGTCTGGCATTTTCATTAATTTTGCGACATACATAAATGTAGCTGAAATGTTAACTGATCAATACTTTGTCTCTCTCATGTAGCACTAGAGCGAAGCTCCCCAAGGACCACGCAGCAGTACAGAAATTAAATGTGTAAAATATCAAATGTTAATGTTAAACACAGCAGCACTTACTGTATAACGACTGAAAAGGCTAAAAGAATTCCAAATGGACAGATGGTAGCACAAATTATCTACAATCACATTTAAAGATTAAAGTTTGTCCCGTAAAATAATTCATTGACTCACGTTGAAGTGTGTCCTTTTACTGATAGCTCAGTTGTCCAATTATTTTTGTGCTCATTACAGTGAGAAATGACAGTATCGGAAAAAAAGAGTGCACACTTTTTTCCCCCTACATTGCACCCACTGACATCTGCAAGAACACAAATGTCTGGTCAAGAAGCTGATGGAAATTAGGCCCAATTTAGTAGACATTTCAGTGCCCACAGTAGATTAATCCAAAGAAAAACCATCCACTTTTGCATACTCCAATAATTAAGTTCTTCTGCCTGAAACGTACCATATTAATTACTGAATTAAAAAAAATATAAAAATTAACTGCTAAATAATCCAAAGGTCTGTTTTAAATAGAGAAAATCATGTGAATTTACAGCAAAGGCTCTCTCTATGTATTCTGTCCTTTTCCATTGCATTTAGGAGCTTAAGAAACATAAACACAAGCACGTAACACATTCTTGATCAGCTTCTAGACATAACAGGGCTATATGTGATATAATAAAGCTGTTTTAGAACTGAAACATTAATTTAACATTGTTGCTACACACTTCCTTTATTTAACAGGAAATAAATACGAAAAAGGAGGAAAGATTATCAAATCTTCTGAGAGTTCAAATCCAAAGTCATATTTGAGCCAGATTGACCTATGTTTCATGAGCTATTTACAAATACTTTTGAATATCTGAAAAATAACAGCTAATAACATGTCACAGATATATTAGCATGAAAACATAAAAAATTATGTCTGAGTACCAATTATTCTTCTGCTGTGAATTACTGAGGCACAGAAAAAAGAAATGGAATCAAAACCTTAAGTCATTCAGACAAAATCCCAGTGAAGGCAATGAGCTTATGAAATTCAACAGAAACAGGTAAAATACTGTTTAGTTGAGGAAATGCATAATCTAGAACATTGAAAACTTAACTTCCAGGTTTCTGTATTTCTAGGTACAGCATGGGTAACGGTGGTCATTGAGCTGGTGCCTTTGGACAGATTTGAGAAAGAACCATCCTAAACCTTTAATAAAGCATTTCCTTTCCTAAAATGTCCCAAATAATATAAAGGTTTGAGACAGGTAAGTTCTGGAGTATAAATAATCAGCAAGCCCCTTCAAGGAACACTTTCAGTCTTGACAACTAACATTGTGACTCTCCAAGGAGAATGACTTTAAAAAGAGCTGCAGTGAACACTTCAGTGTGCAAAGAGCATAAAGCAGATAACTGTAGCTTATTATAGAGTCACCATGTTAATCAAGGCTTTCTGTGGGTTTCCAAGAGTAGTCCTCCTTTCCAGATCTCTCACTAACTGCAACTAACTCAATACGTTTCTGAACACTTCCATAACAGTGGCCCCATCAGAAAGCAAAGACACAGGGTGAGGTACAAGAAAAGGGTACCTGTAATTGTAACACCAAGAACGTGGGGCAATGGGAAATCTGAAAAATCAACCCTCACATACGTAACTTGTGTGAAATGGCTGTAAATCTGTATCAGGATGTTATCCACCAAGGTACATCTTCAAATCCAACAGGAAGGGAGAAATGGTTAGTTTAAATGTTTACATCTCGTACATTATTTATTAGTCTGTCTACAGAGCTGGAAACCTCCAGAACAGCCTACTTCTCACCTCCTTTCTGGCACTGACATTTCACTGTGACATTCCTCAACCTCTGGGAGACAAGTTCAAGAGGAGATACAATTTGTGTAACAGTGAGGAGATGAAAATGAGACATATAAGTACAGCTTTTTTATAGAATCTATTAAATTCCAGCACAACCTTAGTGCAAGCATAATTCAGCATTACATGTGCAAGCGAATCACTTTCAAGATTTTCAAGGGCCTATGATGGCTACGAAACTCCAGAAACCATCTAAATCCAAAGCTTGTGATCATGATAGAAGTTCATGTAGGTTTGACTTGGCTAACAAAAACTTATCAATGTTTTGCCCAACAGAGGGATGATTTGATCCTTGGACAGAGTAACATCAGGTTGAAAAGCACAGGATGCACACTGGATGCAGAGCAGGAATACATCTGTGAAGTCACAGCACTGATGCAGTTGTGATGTGTCCGTAACTACCACAACCACCACACAGCAAAACAAATATTAAGACGAAACTAAGCAAAGCAGGCTTTTGAGATATAAATATATATAAATAAAATCAGGAATACGTTTCTAATGCAATACACTATAACTACAGTAATGACATATACACACTACAGACCTCAATTCTGTGTTTTATGTGTTTTCAACTACTTATTAATACATTGAATTTCTTCTATGATTGGAAACAATTACAATTTCACAGCAACACAACTTCTTTCATGGCCATAGCAGCATACCACGAGAAAGAAATAATTTCCTCTGCCCCAAAATATAGGATGTCTTTCCGTTTCCTTTCTTCCACTGATGACAGGTGGGTGTTTCACACCCGTATTAAAATCAGACTTGGACAGATGAGTATTTACTAACTGGAGCAGTAATAGCAACATGAACTTTTGAGTTTTACGTAGAAACACGCATTTTCCTATGAAATTTTGATTTTAAACTGAAATAATAATAGATCGTCTTTCTAAATTAAACAGCAGCAAGTATATTTAGATTTTTGCACATAGTGTAGTTACTACAGACGTCAGTAAAAGTATAAAAACCCTGAGAGTTTGAACAACACACGTATCTCCTGTACTCTTGATGAACATTGCAACCAAGGACCGACAGCTTGCTGCCATCATTTGACAGGCTACAGGGGGGTTTAACAAGTCACTTAGTACAAATTGAGCCCTGCTAGAAGAAATTCCCTGCAAAACAGCATGATTTTAGTGACACACCAAAGTACCCCATTTTACTGCTCCAGTGCAGCCAGCTCCAATGCCTGGTTTGATGTCTCCAAATTTCAGGCACCTGAACTTTAGGCACCCAAGCTCAGCGCACTGTCAGCAGACTCCCTCTATAATTATTCAAAGAAAGACTGAAAACATTCCCTGTTCCTATTCATGGTGGAGAGGCTCACAACTTCAGTATTTCAGGCAACTTAATAAATTTAGGTGTTCCAGAAAGTGTGTCCATGCATACATTTTTACTCCTGGTGGGAATCCCTCAGGCAAAAAACAAACAGGGACTCTGGTCATGTTTGTAGTTCACGTGATCTTGAAAATAAAAAGATATCCATCCGGCAAACACGATGTAATCTATAATTATGCTTGGAATTTTCAAAATTTCACAGGAAGATAAAGGTTAATAATAATGAAGCTAATGTTTATGGAGAAATAGCAGTTTCATTTAAATCACTAAAAATGAATTCACTAAAATCTCAACTGTGACCACAGCTTGATGTCTAAAAGATACTAGTTTGTTTGCATTAATGATTTTAAAGTTGGGTTTGGTTTATTTTGTTTTGGTTTGGTTTTTTGTAATCAAGAACAGTAAATCTTAGTAAGGAAGCAACTCTTTGGGACCAGAGCTTTGTAGTTCTACAAAAGTTACAGGCATAACATATGTTGATATGTGGAGGACAAAATAACACTGATTTTATATTCATTATGTGGAAAAGCATTCATGAAATGTTCAGAACAAGTTTTAGAGTAAATATGCAATATACAAGGGGCCCAAACAAAATCTAACAGAAATACTGTGTGAGAAGCTCAAGACAGATCCATAGTTCACTCACTGACTGTATTTTGAGTTGTATCACTAGCTTATGTTATTTGTACAATTATAAATTAAAAAACCCCAACTGTTTCTATCTTGTTTGTGTGACATTTTAAACTTAATTGCTTTTTTTAAAAAAAGTGAATAAACATGATCTATGGTATCTTCATAATGCAAAGTTTTAAATAAAAAAAATCAGAACCCCCCTTTCAACACTGTATTATCTCTCAGTCTAGAACACAAATACACCAGGGTGATTAACAATAATATAAAGAAGATCATACCAAAAAAGCAGCGAGACTTCTTGGGGGGGAATCCCAGTCAAAGCAACTGCTAATGTAGTAGGCGGCATTTATGAGCACCATGATACAACGCTTCATCCGGATAAAGTTTCTTAAGAGTAGCTGTTAAAAAGATGAAAGAATGAAAATGTCTCAAAACACCAAAATCTTCAGAAGAGGCTCATGCTTACAATACTGTCATTCTTAACCTCAGTGAATACTGAGAAAATAACCTGTTAAGCTCTCTAGCTCACAAATTGAGAGAGTTTAAAATCTGAGAGACTTGGAAGAGACAGAATGTTAGTTGTGCCAATTGATACTTGTTGAATTTAATTCTAAATGGTACACAAATTGTTGTTCAATTTTAAAAAGCCACTTGCAAAATTTCACAAATTATTTTGTTAGTAAGATTTCAGAGTTTTATTAAGTAGGCAAGACTTTCCCCATTCTCAAGTACTTAGCAAATTTTGGTCTTTCTTAATAAAGAGATGCTGTAGGGCACTAATGTGAAAACATGCAAAATTTCTGCTCTAATCTCCTTAAGATCACCTGCACACTTTACATCCAATTTTTCCTTCATTTGTAACAAATTTGTCTGCTGTGATGTGTTTTAACCACCCATTTTTAAGTATTTGTAACAGTAACTTTAGCTGCATACATTCAATCTATATAGAAATGAGACATAATAGCGCTGGGTTCTGATTCAGGACAACCCTTAAATGCCCTAAAATGGCAATAAGCTTGACCAAAAAAAAAAGTGAACAAACAAGTGAATGATTTCATTTGTGTATTGAGTAGCACAGAAAATGCTCGGTAGGTAAGACACATTCACCTTTGGAAAATGTGGATGTTTTAAAATGCAACCATATCAGTCATACATAAAGTTTCCTTTTTTTCCCACCCTAAGTGGGGTATCCCATGCAAGCTAATTAAAAAACCCCCACAACCCAAAGTAGGTATTTAAAGTTTACTCCTCCTGCCATCTGCAAAAAGCACAATGCCATTTTCTGCTATGAAAGTGGGGAGAAGAATGAATCTTGAATAAAAAGGCCTTGCTGTTTCTTTGGTGGAATAGTAGTGCAAAATGCAGTTTTAGTATTTGCATCACTCACAACAGTAAAGAAAGAAATATTTTGCCTCTTGAAATATTTTTTAAATGATTACATCATTCAACTGATGTAAAATTCACCTAGCCTACAATTTAAATTATGCTCAAGTCTATAAGCTTTCAGCGAAATCAAAACCAGTTTTGAGACCTTTGCCTTTTCACTGCAAACAACAAATACCTTGTTCCCACAGTCTAACCAAAAGCCCTGTTCTCTCCATATAAAATACATCATATGTGGAACATGAAAAACTGAATCAAAGCAGTTCAAGTGGAAAAAAAGTTTTGTGTTTAAATATATTTTTATCAAAACATTATAACTATGAATGGCAAAAACACCTAGGGAAAAAAAAAAGGGTCCAGACATCTCCTACCCACAGGACTCTCAAAAGTAATACAGAGTTTTAGTCTGCTTTCACCTTTGATTCAAACCTCACTCAACTAACTTATTTAAAATTTGGTTAAAAGAATGATAAAAGACTCTCTACCCTGCAACAAATGGAGATCTTTTGCGTCAAGGTCAACAGCAAAAATTTATGCAAGACTTAGTTTACATGCACCTGTGCTATAATCTGATATGTGTGGAACCTGATGGTTTCAACTGTGTTCTTATTCACGTATTTCATGGAAATTAAGCTGCAATTTATAGAGGGGATACAATAAACCCATGTATTTTGTTTCTGCCTTTTCCAACCTATCATATTCTTTTGTAAACAGGTAATGAAAATGTTATTCTTTACCCTCAGCAGTACGATACCAGATATTTGGAAGTGCACACTTGATATTAAGGCTTTCGGAAAGGATTAGTGTTTCCTTACTCTTTACCTGTTTAGACAGTCTGTTTTCCTCTTCAATGTACTTCTGTTCTTTGGGCATTAAGGTTCGTATGCTGGCTTTCACCTATGCATTAAAATGTGTGTCAATATCTCAAGCTTACTCGCTCTTTACTAATAACACATGCTTCAATTTGCAAAAATTACGAAGTTTCAAAGTCATGGCTGCCAAGCCCGCAACACATAAACGTACACAGAGGCATGAGTTGCTGCTCCTTACATTAGCAGCAATAGCAGCGGCAGCAGCAACAAAAAGAGTGGGTGTGCCAGGCAGTGGCAGAAGAGTATTCTGTAGTATACATCAAGGTTTAGAGAAAATGAGGAATGACAGAAATTCTCTACAAATCAGGAACAAAAGCTTTCATGAAACTGAACTCTTTAGCAGTACAAAAAAGCCAAAGTTAAGACTTACAGCATTAAAAATCACATCTATTTCAAGATAGATGACCCCCTTTGTTGGCCCTGTCAGCTCCTTGTTTTTCAAGACGTAGGCTTTCTGTTCACCATTTTGAATCTGCAGGAAAAGGACATGACAGCCGTCTGTCTCGCGGTCTCCGCTGAATACACCCCCCCGGTGACCCCTGACCCCCAGCTGCTGAAACTGACAGAGAACCCAAAACAACTGTGGCAAGTCTGACAAGTACCTGTTCATTACCAGGACCGAGTCTGTCAGGAAAAATTAACTATCATGGGATTCAACATGGCCGTGAATTGAGTATGTTAAAATTTTAGTGTTCTTATTACAGACCTTGGTTGAGAAATGACAGACACAGAGCTGCAAATCTTTTTTTTCCTGGTTTTTTTTTTTTTCCCCCCCCTTCAGCGGGAAAAATTCAGAGCAGCATGTCAGGTGAATGAGACTTACAGACAGCAATGGTATAGCAACTTTGCCTAGAAAGTCAGCACTCCGATCGCGGTCTTCGTCATAAACTGTCACTTCAAGCACCGAGTGGATGTCTTTAATATTGCTACAAAGGGAGAGGCACACACAGAAGAGAGAAGTCACCTACACCAGCAGGTACCAAGGACAAAAGCATGAAAGGTTAGCAAAAACAGATACCCATCTATTCTCCAACCATGGCAGAGAACAGAACTTAAGTAAACGAGGCACCCCTGCATATAACCGAAATGCTTTCTAAGGGCTGCGGCGATCACTCCCTCTCTCTGCGAGGCTTTCCCAGCAGAAGTTTTCCGAAGGATGTTGCTTTAAATCTCCTACCTGGGGTTTGTGCCGCATGAGCTGCAAGGAGAGCCAGCGCGGAGCAGCACTGGGGGATTTACAGCGGCGAGCAGCAGGACTGAGAGCGTTTAAAGACCATCCCTTAAACACTGCTGTCCTTGCAGCAATTCCTACTGCAAACACCGTGAAATCCATAGGTTTGTAAACGAAAACAATTACCAGCTACACGGGCGCTTCCTTGCACTGAGAACAAGCTCTTTAATTCTGAAATCCTTGCTTAATTACAAGTATACAAGTCATTACAACAAATTAGGAACAAGCAATATGAAACGATGCTTTTTTCAGCTACTACTGTTTTTTGCCTGCGAGCTATTAAACACTCTACCACCATGCACAACAAATGTCACCGTACATTGTAAACTCTCAAGTGAAAAATTCACATGCCTTATTCAGAGAAAAAAACAGAATTGTTTGAGAGAACTCATCTTTGATCAAATGGCTGATCTAGGAAATATAAATTCAAGCAAAGCAATTTAACTTCAGTAAAATATATGCCTCCAGATGAAACTGGATTGCTAGCCCGAAATTAATTAACAAATCTGAGGATAAATAAAATAGTCAATGCAAATATACATAGAAGAGAGGTGAAAACTCTCCTTGAAGGCCTTTTGAGCTTTTCTATTTGATTCCTGATTAGTCTTTTGTCCTCTACAAAACCAGGCAATTTCTTATGCAGAGAAAACTGTCGAGCAGTAGGGGTTGATTAGTTATTGGCTCTATTAGTAGACAATTAAAAATAAATTAATGAAGAATTTAGCATCATTTTGCAGATACCTAAATAAAAACTATGTTAATAAGCTTCCGAGAAGTACAACTGTTGTGAGATTTTTTCTTTTGTTCTGAGTTCATTCCTGAGAGCTCACTGCAGGGCAAGAAAAGCTACAGATGCCAAATATATGAATGACAAATTTAGAGGGGAAAAAAAAAAAAAAGAAAATTAAGATCAGACTGTATTTTGAGATCAAGGGTAAAACATTGTATTTTCATTTATGATAAAGTGAAGTAAGTGTACACAAAGCTTCTACTGGTTTTGTAGTGGATTGTTAGCTGATTTCAGCAGCCGAGAAACCTGCAACTGATCAGTTTTCTACTCATAGGTGTCACATTGCAGTCAGATCGAGAGAAGCAGGGAGAAAAAGAAGGCAATTGAGCAAGACAAATAACAGAAACATTTTGTTTGTGGAAGACTTTTTTTCTATTTCGTCAGAGCCTTCTACTGTCTTCAAAATAACAGAAGGATAAAAAAAATCGAACCGCATCACTTCTACTTAAACTAAAGGTTTAAGACTGTGTTTTACCCAATAGCAGCATTGTGCTAGGATGATACTAGATGGTATTGTGAGAAGTGCAGTTGGTAAATGGAAAGAACAAGCAGAAAGTATGTGATCATAATTCAGAGGAGTATGAAGGCATTTAAAATTCCTTCCTTTATATAGTTATCTAATGTTTATTAAAGTTAACAAACACATTTTAATGAAGATCATAATCACAATACCCTTTTTTCCACCCAAAACTTCAGGGCCACATCCAGTGTGATGGATTTGGCCCTTGAAACTCTCACTGAAGCTGACAGGAGTCTGGAGTGCTTAGCATTACTCATACCTAGTTTCCAAGAAACAGACCTTGCTTTTTTACCTTTACAATGGTACCTCTTCTCTAATTTTTTTTCATGTTTTTAATCCTCAAAAAAGTATTCAGCTGTTTGGTTTAGAAATATCAGTATGTCATCATTATCCTTCTTCAGAATCAGCAGCAGGTATCTTTGATTCACACATATATCCCCTTCAAACCCTCCCCCCACAGCATCCCCCCCCGCCAAAACACTCACAAAATCCAAACACCTACAATGTGAAGATTTTGTTCCATTCTGGATTGAGGTTCTTGTAGACGGTATGGGTCAGCAGTCTGTCATTGTTCAATTCAACTACACAAAATGGGTCACTTTTACCTATAAGAGAAAATTTGGAACAAAATTTATGAACTAAGAAAATCCACCATGAGCAAGGTTTATATAAAAATCAGTTTTGTTTTGGTTTTTGTTTTTTTTTTTCCTTTTCCTAAGCTGCATTGTAATTCTCTCAGGAATTAATTCAGGGAAGTCCTATGGTCTGCATTATATTCAAGTTGATCATAACAGACTGTTCATCTCTGTAATCCTAAAAGAACATCTTTTTTGTCTTTAAAAAAAAAAAAGAAAAGAAAAGAAAAGAAAAATCACCATACAGACTTTTCTGATGAAAAAACAGCATGTTCCTAAAAGGTGCCAAGCACCCTTCTGAGACAGCTAAGAGAACTTTACTTTAATGGTGCCAATCCTACATTGACTGTAATGATAACATAATTAGAGCATTTTGATATGTAGGAAATGTATTATTCCATATTATTTGTAATAACATAGCACCTATGATACTTATCCAAAGATTACTATGCCCTACATGTTTCACGCTGTACAAATCCTCTCCCCAAAATCAAAAAGCCTTAAAGACAGTCTCAGATAAAAGCCTAATACCAGAGAAAATGGGCAAGTACAATTAAACAATGAGACGATATCAGCTGGAATGATGGGCTGTAGTCTCAGCACAGCAGAAGCTCAAGCGTGGTTGAGATTTTTGTATACATTAAAGCACAATGAAGTAGCTTTGCATATATTTACAAGAAGGTCCCTCAGCATGAAAGCCACCACAGGAGAAAGTATGAAGATGCTGCTTTGAAAATGTAATATGTAGATAATGGAAGCAGTATCCTGGACTGGATATGGAAGTTGGGGTTTTTTTAAGCTAAAGAAAAAGAATGGGGAAAGGAACTGTGTGGGGGTGGGTGCCCCTGAATGTGAAATAAGCAGTTTACAGCCAATGACTGCAGGTGAGCAGTGCTTAGATACCAAGCAAAGCACATGAAAAATCATGCAGACTGAAAGTTTAGGGGGATGACATGAAACTTAGACTAAGCTTTTTCTTAGATATCCACAAGGCCAAGGTTTGTATTTGGAAAGGAGAAGAAGGAAAGGAGACACCAGAATCTCATGCTTAACAACAGTTTGCCTGAGTAAAAAAGGAGCTCTCCAAAGAGGGATCAAGAAAAAGTAGGGAAGATTGATATCTCCAGGGTTTTGGGGCAACCCTGAAATTTCCTGGAAGGCTAAGAAGGAGTTGCGAGGAAGATCTGAGGAACAGCTATGATGGAAGGAGCAGTAATGAAAACATGAGGGGCATGGTGAGAAGACAGTTGCAATAAAGAGGCAATAAAGGGAAGAAATCAGTGTGGAGTAAATTATTTAACTCGTATTTCAAATTATGACAGTAATGACAACCACTATAAATGCTGGCCAAGACAGAGGGATGCTATCCCTCCTACCTATTTTGATCTCCTCCAGTAATCAGAGGGAACAACATTTGCCTTTGGCACAGAATACAAGTATATGCATTATTTTCGTGTAAGGCTACAGATATGTAAGCAGAAAGCTGTAGAATAAATTGCTGCTCCCAGAACCCAAGGGAACTTTGTCTGATGGAAATTAACAACTGAGTTGCATACTACCAAGTGGCTCATTCTTGACTCTGGACTTTCTTTGGACAGCACAGTGTTTGAAAGTTATTGAGTGTTGGCATTGGCCTTCCACAATCAAATCTAAGCAATTGTATTTCACAATGTCTTCAATAATTCCGTACTGCTTTGTCGTGCATTATAAGAAGCCATAAATTGAGCAGCTCAATGGGGCTACATTAATGATATTAGGGAGGCATGTAATTTGTTTCATACCTTATACAAATGACAATGAAATCAATATTTAGACAAAGCTGTCCAGGGGTCACATCTCCCAAACTGCAGTATTGATTCAGACTACATCAGAGGTTAATGTGCATATTATTAACTTTAATGATAAAGAATAATTGTTTTAAACACATTGTGAATTAAAGTTAGAGTTGATGTTTACCTTCTCTAGAAAATAATATATAGCTGAATCTTTCCTATTAAACTTGAAAAATGATTAATTCATTAGTCAGCAGAGATGGATATATCATACATCTCAACGTTTTCCTACTTCACAAGCCTAAAAGGTGGTAGGAAACGTTAACATATTTATTTAGGTTGTTTAGGTTTCAGTATTTGAAAAAGAAACACCCAGAAGATAGTTAAAACAACAAGGCAGAACTGACATAGCAGGTGAGCTAGATGATATTATTTTATCTCCTTTTTTAAAGTATCATCAATCTTATTTGCATATGATGGTACAATGTGATTTGTGCTTAGTAATTGCATACAGACACAGGAAAATGCACTGCAGTGTCTAAAAGCCACCTTCTGTAAACAAAGAGAAAGTATTTACTACATTCATTTATTTTCCACATCTGCACTTTTTCAGTGACTCTCCTTATAGATTTATATGGATATCAACCCACTTAAGAAAGCTAAATAATATGTAACATCAATCACAGAGGTCCTCGATCAAACCAAAGACAAACGGTTTTCAGAATTAAAAAAATCCCCCTTCACACTCAACATTTCATGTCTCCTCCCCCCTATAACTTGAAAAGAGTTCGAGACCAAATTTGACAAAAAGTAATATTGTAAAATAGTACAAGGGAAGGCCCAAATATCATCGCTGACAAGTAAAAGTTTTCCAGCTATGAATATCTCTACTAAGGAATACTGTTTTTACCATATGAGGAGGCTATGAAGTTCCCATATGCAAAGCCCTTCACCATCATCTATGGGCACTTCTTCCATATGCTAAAACACTCATAACCAAGCTGGGTATCTTAAACGCAACACTCTTCGCTGACGTGCTAAACATATGGTATGTGCAAACGTTATTTGGATACCAACCCAAATAAGTGAACAGGATCCAGAAAGACAAAGCCAGAGCAATGTACAAGTACTTGGTGAAACTCATATCCATCTGTCATCTTTCAATTTCTCATTATTAGAAAGAATAACTGCAATCTTAACCCTCACTGAAAGCCATGGCAACCTGCTGTATTGCCAGAGTGTTCAAAATAGTGGGATCATTCCCAATGAAAGCCTTAAGAGAGTACTAAAATATTAAAGACGTCATCTTTAGGTCTCCTTGGTCTCTAGGAGGACCAAGGAAACCAGGAACTTACAACTTATATTCATCACTATATTATTCAAAACCAGTACCTTAAGCACAACACATACTTTAACCAAGGCAGCCTCAGACAGCTTCTGTCTAGTTAGTGCAACTAGCACAGTTTTCCTCAATTTTATGTAAAAGAACCACACATGCTCAGAACAGTATGCGCTGTCCATCTAGCAGTTCTAAAAGTACACTTAAAAACCTTTGATTAGACTTGTGCTGCCTAAGCTCAATTACAATCATTCGAAATTATGTTGTCAACACAGGTATGCCTTTCACTACAGACTAAATCACGACTGTCATATATCACTGTATATCACCTGTCATATGTCAAGAAATTCTACCCAAATCCCTGTGTCTACTGAGGATCTTCCAACTAGCTCCCTGATCCATGCCTTTTGTAGGCCTCCAGCTACTCTTCCAGTGACTTCAGAGGTACTTTACTCTATCGATCAGGAGGACATCCACAAAGGTCTTCTGAATACAGCCCTAAATGTGTGCTCAGTGCTGTGCAAGGGTAAGACGACCACCACCTGCTTAAGGCACTTACACTTTAAAAACATGCTCCCAGCACCACTGAAACCAGCACTTATGATTTTGAGCAATCCCATGACCTTAGTGGGACTAATCACTACTACACTTAGCACTGTTGGAAGGAATTCATGATAGAAGTAGTTAGTAAAAACCAGTGAAGTACACCTTCCAATTTACTGAAATCAGACCTGCAGTAAACCTCAATAAGAAGTAAAACAGATCTCATTAATCCATTTTGTTGCTGTAACATCTCATGCTTTTTGGACTCTACTTGTACAGTCCTAAGGGCTCCTGAAATGACAGAAATAAAGTGCTAAGTTACATAATATGCATAATAATCTGCAAGGGAAAGCAGAGTCTCTTTTGATGGATCTCCCTCACCTTTTTTTGCCCTTTACCCATTACAGACCTGGATTGTCTGAGAATGTCCCCTAGAAGGAACTCTACTTTGTAATGTGGGCTACCACTGAAAAAAAATTAAAGAACTACTTATCTTTTGAAGCTTCCCATTTTATTCATCATGCCACACATTGCATCTAGTTTGACAGATATCCTTGTTTTGCTATGCTGTATTGCATTTAATCTTTAGACAGTCAGCAAGACTGGAGCACAAACTGAGATTACTTTACTTAGATCTAAGTAAAGTATTTTACTTCAGTCAACCCTGTGTCCTTCATGTTGTGCCCTTCATGTTAATTAACATGTTAGTCTTTTACTTGTCACCTTACTTCTCAGAACTACCACATCCCCCTGGATGAACTGTATACCCATCAGCTGAAACCTGCCCAACTCTACGACAGTGGTTAAGCTGCAAGAGAGGCTAACCAGGAACTAGAGAGGTCTTATTTGTTATTTGCTTCAAAACTCAAAATCTCCCACAGCCCAGGAAGTCCTTCACAAAAGAAATAGTCAGTTCAGAGCTCAGATTAATTCTCTGGATCTCAGAAGGTTGGCCACTGGAATAACTTTTTTCCCCCCAGCAAGTATATAAAATACACTTTTTCCTCACAGAAGAGAGACCTAAATAGTGACAAATTTTAACTGCTTCTCAAAATATTTAGATCTCAACCTCCACGCAGTTTTAGCTTCTGGATGTTCTTCTCAAGTAGCTACAGCACCACATTGCCTAACAGTTCTGCCGTGGTTTTCACTTGTAGAAGTTTGGGAAAGGTCCTTTCCACCAGTTCAAAGACCACAGGACTTCCACATTTGTAGATCAGCTGGCTCGCTATGCTGGAACTCATCAGCAAGCACCAAAGATGTTAGGTGGCTTGTGAACCCTTGTGAACTTATGTTCTAGGGCTGGTGGACTGGTC